GGCTGGCTCTGTGTTTCCGCCCTCTCAGTGCCCATTCTGTATGGGTTCCTGATTCTCCCTGGGCTTTTTCCTGTTGAGGACAATTCTCTTCCTGTCTCAGCGCTGGGATTGGGGGACAGGGTTAGAGGCACCAAACGTCAGGGTCCAAGGAGCTTGTCAGCAGGCTGAGGCTTTCTGGATGGAATGTCTTTTTCCTGCTCCCCCCAGGCTAGACATGGAGGCTGTGGGGTGGGAGTCAGGGTGGGCATCATCTGAATCCCTTCTCGACCTTTGTGGGGTTGGGCTGGGGGGGGGGGTGGGTTGGTACTAGACAATAAGCCTCCTTTTCCCCCAAGCAAGGAATGTTGATCAAGACAAAGGGGCCCTGTCTGCTCTGGAGTGGGGGGCGGACTGACTCACAGCTCTTATGCCCCCCACAAATGCCAGAGGGAGCTAGAAACATTTCCCACTGGGGACCTAGCTTATCCCCATTTACACTTTGGAGGGGCATCTTCTTTCTCAAATTACCTTTCCCCTGTTTCCCACATCCTGGCCCAAATTTATTCCCCTTTTATATTCCCATCTTCCTCTGGTCAGGTCTCTTTATTTATCTGCTCCCCTCTTTTACCCTTACACTCTCTCCTAACCTCCTAACACAGTTCTCAGTCTTACAGTTGGGAAGTGGGGACTTAGGATATAGTGTCTCCTCTTTTGGACCCTGAAGAGATGCCAGAAAAGGGGGCCTCTGGGGCTATAGGAGGATAAAGAGTGGGGTTGGAGAAAGCTTTGCAAAGGTTTGTTGGAGTTAAGTGGATGGTATGTGAAAACTAGAACTTAGACTTCCTTTGCTGGTGTTCACTCTCCACAAAATCTCAGCCCGTTGTGGGAGAGGGAATGAGGAGGCGGGGAGAGAGTAGAGATAGGAGGCCCCTATGTCTAGCCCAACCCCTTCTCTCTTTGCTTTCCTCCTTGTGCCTGCCTGTCTGAGTGACTCTTGTCTGCAGCTATTCCTAGTGTCCCGAGGGAGAGAGAGAAAGCCCAGGTGGGAATGGGTACAGGGGGTAGAGGACAACGGAAGGGTGTTCTGAGCCGGCTTAGGGATGAGTGTGAGTTAGAGGTGGTGGAGGGTGTTGATATCATGCAAGATTGTGGTATGAAAGAGGCATGTGTAAAAGATGTAGGTGTGCGGATATCTGTTTGGGGCATTTGTAAGATCTAATTCATTTCCACAAACACTTTTCAGGATGCTGCTATGTGGAAGGTGCCAACCATTTAAGATATGTGTCTCCAAAGAAGGATCATTATGTCAGGAGAGAAGTGTCTGGGGGATGAGGAGCTTATGGAAATAGAGACAAGATGGACATAGGGTTTGAGTGTAAGGGAAAAATAAACATTACAGGAATCTATAGAGAAGTATATTAAATAAGGGGTATGTGTATGTGTCTCTGTCTCTTATGTATGTAGGTAGCAATCTCGTGTAAGGAGAGAGAACAGTATTAAGGGCATGTGTAAGGTGTTCAGGGTATGTTGACAATTATTAGAGACATATATGACTGGAGACAAAAGGTGAGGATTGCTACAGGTAGTGTGAATGAGTGGGTGTGTCCAGAGTCACATCACATTTGGCCTCTTAGAAGGTACATGAATAAGGGATGCCTGGGGTTCTGAGCAACTGAGAGCAGACAGATAGAGGAATAGGTGGGAGCACTCCTCCATTAACCCCTTTTCACTCCTTTCAGGATAGCAGCAGGTGACCCCTGATGTACAAGCGATCATGGGGTCCAGGGTCCGGGTTTTGCTGTGCTGTCTGCTAGCGGGATTCTCGGGCCTGCTGTTTTTGGGGGGGCAGAGGGCAAATGGGGATCTTCCATACAGGTGAGGATGGTGGGTCCTTAGCAGGGGCGGGAGTAGGGGCAGTAGGTGGAGCATTCGTAAGGGTGGGTGACACCAAGGTCTGGCCAAGAGAAGGAAACTGTTTGTGAAAAGGGCTCTCTAGGGGTTTGTCCATTCTGAATCTCCATCCCCTCTTCTTACTCCACTTGGGTGCAGTAAGGGAGTCTGCTCCAGGCAGACTCTGGTGGTTCCTGTTCGGTACAATGAATCCTACAGCCAGCCAATATACAAACCTTATTTGACACTGTGCACAGGTCGACGCGTCTGCAGCACTTACAGGTGAGTAAGTGGGTAACGGTACTAGATGCCCCAGTCCTGGAAGAGAGCTTGAGTTGCAAGGGATGGAAATTGAGTATTTGTGCTTAGGAAGTGGGGATGGGACTATAGCTTGAGTTATTGAGGGGAGCTTGGGTTGGGATGAGATTGAGAATGACCTCAGGGAATGATGTGCCAGGATCTTAAGTCAGTTGCTCCCCGTAGGACCACGTACCGAGTGGCATGGCGGGAGGTTCGGAGGGAGGTGCAGCAAATTCATGCCATATGTTGTCAGGGCTGGAGGAAGAAGCATCCAGGGGCACTGACCTGCGAAGAAGGTGTGTGGGAAGGAGGGGAGGATGGATGGTGGTAGGGTTGTGAGAGCCTGCTGGGGAGATGGAAGAGGGGAGTTTGTTCTCTACCCTGACCCTTCTTTCCATCCCCAGCCATCTGTCCTAAGCCCTGTCAGAATGGAGGTATCTGCATCCAGCCTGACCAGTGCGAATGCACCCCGGGCTGGGGAGGGAAGCACTGTCATGTGGGTGAGTATAAGACTCCCTCGATTTTGGCTCCTCGCCCACACTCTCCGGGGAATCTAGAGCATGGCACCTCAGGGCTTCTTTCTCTACCTTTAGATGTAGACGAATGCAGGACTGGCATCATTCTTTGCTCTCATAGCTGTTCCAACACCCTGGGCAGCTATACCTGCGGCTGCCCCAAAGGTCTAGCCCTAGGGACTGATGGAAGGACTTGTGAGGAGGCCCCCCCTGAGCCACTTCCCAGTCCCAGCATCCTTAGCTTGACAGGTAAGAGAAACACTCTATCCTTCACATTGCCTCCCCCTCTTATTATCATGAGATGTGAAGAACCTCTTGGAATTTGTGACTAGAAAATCATGGGATTCAAGGCCCCCCACAATCCGGCTCCTACCTCATGAACCTTGTTTCATATAACTCTATCCCCATTCTTTCTACCCTCCCATCTCACACTCTCATTTCCATCTTCTCAAAACTTTACCTTTTTTTTTTTTAAAGGCAATTGGGGTTAAGTGACTTGGCCAGGGTCACACAGCTAGTAAGTGTCAAGTGTTTATTCTGAGGCTGGATTTGAACTTGGGTCCTTCTGACTTCAGGGCTGGAGCTCTATCCACTGCGCCACCTAGCTGCCCCAACTTCAAGTACCGGATAACTTCCGTCCTCTGGACTAGATGGCTTCTGAGGTCCCTTGTAGCTCTCAGCCTGTGATTTTATGAGCCTTCAGAAAAGAAGGGACTCTTTCAGATTTCTCGCAGCATTTTATAGGATCACAGATTGGGAGCTGGAAAGGATCTCAGAGGCTCATCTAGCTCCATCTCATTTTACAGACATGGGAACTGAGGCTCACAGTTCCAGCTAGTGTCAGATGTGGAATTTGAATCCAGGTTTTTTCCCGACGCTAAATTCCTGACTTCCAAGTCCCTCTATGACATTTTCCATTTTGCAGTTCTTGCTCTCCTTTATCTTAATTGTTTGCTCGCGTCTTACCTTACTCTCACTTTTGACTGTAAGTTCCCTGAGAGGGCAGTGTCATCTACTATAATGCCCTTAATGTCTGCTCAACTATATTCTACAGTTCGAGAGGCGGAAAAAGAGGAGCATTCCCTGAGACAGGAGGTCAGAGAATTACGCGGGCGGCTGGAGGCCTTGGAGCAGGTGAGACAACTGAGAGCTCCTAGGGAGGGGTGGGGGCATCCTAGCAGGTAAATTTAGACGCAACAGACTATCACTGAACAGGCCAAGAAGCCTGGTCTCTCAGTGGGCTAGGCGTTCATAGCAGCTCCTTTCGTATCTTTCTGCAGTGGGCAGGACAGGTGAGTGCCTGGGTTCGAGATGTGCTACCAGTGTCTCCTGAAACGATTCGGCCCGAGCAAGTGGCTGAGCTATGGGGGAGGGGAGACCGGATCGACTCGCTTAGCGATCAGGTGCTGCTTCTGGAGGAGAAACTGGGCGCCTGTGAGTCCGCCGCTCCACCTACCTTCTCTTGTCCCTGTTAACTTCCCACGTGTTCCGTGTATACACTTATATACACTTGACCCTCACCCCATACATATTAGCGTCTGTTCTCTATGCAGCCTTCGATCAACAGTCATACCCCTCATTAAACTTTTCCTACCATTCATTCTTACCTGTTAACTCCTCTTGGGTTTTGCTTCTAAATCTTTTCCCCTATAGGGTAGAAGTCAAATTCTCCAAGGAAGGCGTGGTGTTTATCAGTGCTCCTGCCCTCACCCTTCCAACGCTGAAGCCGAAATCAGCTGTAAAAGGAGAGTAACTTTCGCCGGTCTCCACGTGTCTTTTAACAGGTTCTTGTGAGGACAACAGCCTGGGTCCAAGTCTCAACCGCCGCAGATGAGGGTACTTTTGGACATCAACACCCTCTTATTTCCAACGCCTGCCCCCACCAACCCCCCCTTGGTAATTTACAGTGAAATCCACTAATGCAAAGGGGACTAGATGCTGGGATGGCCAGGTTGATAAGGTGACGGGAGTTGCCGAAGATATGAAAACAGCTGCCGAGGAGACCGGCTAGAACATTATTCGTCTCCTGCAATCCCCCTCCCCCTCCCTTTTAGCTTAAGATAGGGTTTGGGCCACCAAGATCCCTTTCCCCCAACAAGGTACACAAACAGTCGGAATCTTTCCATCTCTCTTTATTCTCCGTATCTCGCTGTTAATCCAGATAATAAAAACCTTCGGAGCGGAGCAAACCCTTGGACTGCCCCCTTCAACCCCTCCCTTCAGACCTCGCGGGGGGAGGGGGTGTGTGCGCGCGCGCGCGCTGGGGGAGTGTTTGGAGAGAAAAGGGCAGTCCTGGTACCCGTGAGAGGGGAGGAGAGGACTGGAATACGGAGGCCCAGCTAATGCCTTGGGAGGAAAAGCAGAACTGGTTGGGAGAAAGAAAATCCCGGGGAGTCCCCTCACCTCCCCGGGTCACACTGGCCTGGGTTGGGGGGGGGGAGGAGAGCGGCAGCATCAAATAGCCCTTCTTTCCCCAATGCCCCACCCTTTCATTAATGCTCCTCAGGTTGGGGAAAGGGTGTCAGCAGGACTGTGGCTTCCCCCAAGAGAAGAATGGGATTCTCTTGGCCCCTCCCACCCCGATGGGGATGTGCTACTTAAGGCTGGGATCCTCTACTAGGCTGGAGATGAGGCAAGGAAGCCTAGGTTTGGCTGGGTCTCTCTACCCCTTTTTGTAAACAGACTCCCGCTTCCCCAAGGCGCTGGGGGTGATCCTCCCCCTCCCTTTGGACTTTTAACACTGAGAGCGTTTGGCTGCCAATCTAGACGCAGGGAGGTGTGGGAAGGGCAGCTCCCCAGCAGCAAAAGGAAAGAAAAATAAATTAAACCTACTCCAGCCTCCTCTAACCAGCTCTCAGTTCTTCTTACCCCACCTCCAGGAGTAAGAAATTAATGCAGCACCTGTAACTCCACCCTTCCCTGGTGTCTGGGCCTAATGGTACAGCCTGAGGCCTAGGGACTGTGCTGGGACAGGGCTGGGTTGGGCCGGTCTCCCGCTACTCCAGGGGAATTTAAGAGTGTACTACCATTGGAGTGTACCACCCACTGGCTAAGGGGAGAAGGTGGAGGAGGAGGACTGGGGTGGGAAAGAAGAGGGAATTCTGTGGAGACCAGTTTGTGTGTGGGTCAGTATGTCACAGGAAAGAATGGGCCGGGATGAGTAAGGATAAGGCAGATTAAACGGACCGTACCAAGGAAAGGGAAAGGTCCAAGTCCCTAGAAAGAAGACTCCACATATATCCATTGGGGTGAGTGGGGAGGAAAGAGAAGCTGGGCTGGGCTGCAGACTGGAGAGAAAGATTGCAAAGAGCAGCTGGTTGGGTCTACTTCCATTCCCGAGATGGGTCCTCCCCACCCCACCCCCCCAGTTGGATGAGTCCATTTGCATCCACAGAGTTGGGAGGGGGGTAGGGGAGAGAGCACGGAGTGCTTCCATAGAGGTGGATGAGTCCACAAATCAGGGTGGGGAGGAAAGCCACAGAGGAAGCGTCCACTTAGTGTCCACTATGGGGTGGGAGTGGTCGATGCCCAGTGGAACATACCACTCAGGAGACAGAGAGGAGAGCAGAATGTTCCACAGACAAGATGGGAGGCATGGAGGGAGTGTGTAGGCTGCACCAAGACGGTAAAGTCCACAGAGTAGGGTTTGGGAAGGGGGAGAGGGGTGGAGGAAAAGCGCTTTGTCCATGTCCACTTCAGAAGCTGAAGATTTAGAGTAGAGAATTAGTGGGGTGAGGAGAGGCTTGGCTGTACCACAATGGAGAAATGGGATGGGAGAAGTGAAGAGGGGAGTCAGGCCCAGTCCAGGGACCACTGGGTTGAGGGAGAGGGGATGTGAAGGAGTGGTAGGAGGAAGGCTCAGAGGCCGGCCTCACCAGCCCCACCAGGCTTCTTTAGATAGTCACCCCCTCCCCGGCCGTCAGTAGAGATCTCCTGGAAAACTGTGAGCATGGAGTGGCGGATTCTGTCAGCGAGGTCGGGCACGTTGTCTGGGGTCAGCCCTTCTGTGGCCACGGGGGGCAGCACCCGTACCTGACATGTCCCTAGGGATGGGGAGACACACAGGCTATCATTCCAGGCTTTTCTTCAGTTTTCCACAGGCCCTCCTAACTTCCCTTTTTCCAGTTTTATCTCCCGTTATATTCCAAAAAAGCTTTTGCTCAAGCCACATTGGCCAGCCTATACATTATTCCCAGCAGACGTTAAGTTTTTCCTTTCTGCCCCTTTGTCTCTTCTATTTTCTCCCCTCTACTGCCAGCAGAACTCATTCAAAGAACCACTGGATGTTAGAGCTGGAAGAGACCATTAAGAAAATGAAATCCAATGCCCTCACTGCATAGGGGAGGAGAAGGAGAAGAAGGGAAGAAAGCGACTTGCCCAACTTAAGTCAGTGGGAACATTGGAACTGGAACCTACAGTTCCTGACAGCTTAGTCTATTACTCCTTCTACAGAATGGGAACTGCGCTATATCTGTTATCAATTCATCCAATAACCACTAAGGTGCCTCCAGTTAGAAATATGGAGGTGTTTTTCAGAGGCATTGTGGTTTAGTAAAGAGACCAGGATTCTGGTTTTACTAGCTATGTGACATTGGGCAAGTCACCTCTGTGCCTCAGTTTCCTAATCTGCTGAATGGGGATGATAATGTCATTACCTACCTTACAAAGTGTTCAAAGCAACCGAAGCTTTATAAAATGCTACACTGCCCTGTTACTCTGGAGCTGTTTCCTCCTCTATAAATTGAGATAAATATCTACAAACAGAGGGGGTTACCTGAACAGGGTTATCTAAAGTGGTCTGTGAAGAATCTCATAGAGAAGTAAAGGCAGAGAGAAGAAGGTGGAGGGGCAAGGAGGCAGAGGTGGGGAAATATCGTGACACCCGCCCAGGAGAAAGAAAACATTCAGAATGGTTCAGAATTTTCTTCAGAAAAGGAAGAAAGTATGACCTTCTAGATGACTGTTAAGGTGACCCAGAGAGTTAGTGCAGGGCCATTACTAGAACCCAGGTTTTCGGTCTCCCAGGCCAGTGTTCTTCCTTTCAAGGCCCAGCTCAAATCCCATCTTCTCTTTGAAGCCTTCCCTGACCACTCCAGCCCAAAGTGATTAATACTTTCTGCATTCAATAAACACCAACACCTTTTTACCACCTTGTATTTTTAGCTATTTTTTCATACATTTATGCCCTGTTTTCCTAACTAGATCATAAGTTCTTTGAAGGACACCTTTGTGTCCACCACAGCATTTGGCATAATGACTTACATTGCAGATATTCTAAATTTGTTGAGACTGATTTCCAGGGACTTGACTAAATGGTCCAGTTCTGATGTTCTATGGTTCTATGACTAAATGATTTCCTGGCCTCTCAAAGATTCACATTTCATCCTTTCCCCACAATCCCACTGGCCACTCTACTCTGTCCCCACCAAGTCCTCCCAACCAGCACTTTGATCCTCTCACCCGAGGTGAAGCGCCGTTCTTTCTTGCAGTAGAAGTCTTTGTAGGAGGACATGACAATAGGAATAATGGGGACCTGCGGGAGGGGAAAGGGGAAATCAGAGAACAGCCTCACTCCTCAGCCCTCCTCCCCTGGTAGCCCTTCATCTGATCATCTCCTGGTAAGCTTCTTCTCCTTCTCATCAGCCCACAGACAGTTAGCTGGAAAGTTCAGGAGAAGGGTAGTGTGTCAGTGGTCAAATGGGGAAACTGAATTCTGACCTGGGCCTGAACAGCAAGGTGGAAGGCGCCACGTTTGAAGGGAAGCATAGAGCCATTGTGGTTCCTGGTACCCTCAGGGAAAACCCAAACTCGGACCTATGGGAGAAACTGGATCAGAGATAAGAAGAGACAGAGAACAAGCCAGAGCTAGAGCCAGTGCAATACAGAGGGAGGAGTCAGTGCCAGAGAATAGACAAAACCCTGGGATATCAGAGGTGCTTCTGTATGGCCATCTAAATCTCTTATTCCCGATGGCTGTTTTTCTCTTTTGGGGTAACTCACATTCTGGCTGAGCAGGGTCTGCGCAGCCTCAGCCATGACACTGATTGCATCCCCAGTACGTTTCCGGTCAATGAAGATGACTCCAGCCAGCCAGCATGCTAGACCTGCTGGCCCTGCCCATAGCAGTTCCCGCTTGGCAATGGGTACACAACGACCTGGGAGCACCTCCATCATTCCTGGGGCAGGGAAGTGGGTGGTTAGTGGAACCAGGGAGTATGATATCGACTCTCAGTGTCAAGAGCAGGAAATAGGAGGTTATGGGGCAGTAAGGAAAGAAGATGCTTTTACTTGATGGCAGGGGGAATGGAATGATAGGAAAGTGATGTACCAAGGATGTCACGGACATTTTAGAGGGGAGAGAAGTAGGTTGGAGGGAGATTTACCTCCTAGGGGAAGTTCTCCAAAGGGAAAGGAGATTCAGGGCAGAGAGGAGTGGGAGGGGGAGGACAGAGGGACCTGAAGGGTGGGAAAGAAGAAGAGAAGTTCCTGATATAGATGGGGAGGAAATTCTCAGGGAGGAAACAGTGGGGAAGAGGGGAGGAGGACCTCGTAAGATAAGAAGTTCTAGGAATATTTCCTATTGGGAACCAATGTATCTAGGGTGTAGGGTGATGAATATCTCTGGGGTAAAATGCTCCCTGGGGATGACAGTTTTAAAAGCTAGAAGGAGAAGAGGTACTTAGGGAAGAAATATTCCCATGGTTATGAGAGAGGGCTGTCTTACCTAGTAGGTCGAGGGAGCTCTGGTGGTTGGAGACAACAACATAGGGCTGGGAGGGGGGAAAGTGATGGGTCCCTCGAACCTCCAGCCGGATCCCGTATAGGTACTTGATGTGCAGCAGCATCAGCCGAAGGATCCTATAGGGACAGGCCCAGGATACCACATTTGGGAGTTTGTCAGAGAGGGCCACATACTTCTTCCACATATTTTCCCAATATTCCTCTAACCCTACTCCCCTCCTTGTGCCATGTGTCTTTTTTCCCATCTCAATTTTCCCTTCTCTTTTTCTGTTTCTCCTTTGCCTTATGTCTATGATCTGATGGGTCCTTCTGTGTCTTCCCCACTCCTTATTCCCTTGTGCCTGGCACCTCTGGTAATCCATCTTCCCCACCCTCTTTTCATTTCCCATTCCTTGGGTTTCCCTCTCACTTCATGTTCTCCACGTTTCGCCCTCGAAGGGCACACACAGGGATGGCCAGCACTGCCAGGAAGAGGATCCAGCCGTTGTAGAATGCCATCTTGCAGAAGTACTTGGCACTGGCGCTGTAACCCCAGAGCACAGGTACCAGCAGCAAAAGCAGCAGCAGAAAGAGCAGCAGCATTGCCCATGGCCCTGGCCACAGCTCCATGCTGGCCACCTGTAAGGAGTGGGGGGGGGAGGGGAAGGATAGTGGGCCTGAGGCACTGGAAGGGTGAATATTGGGGGGAGTGGCCAAGAGGGACCAGAGCAGAGAAATAATAGGACAAGAGTGCAGATGGAGTTAGAAGGCCAGACTGGGGGGCAGGGGCAGGGGCCTTCCATTCCTAGATTCTCACCCACCCAAGACACTCCAGAGAGGTAGTGGGGACGTAAGAATTGGAAACTCCCTCCCTCTTCATTTGACCCCCAAATACACACACAAAAAGACATATAGATGGTACACATATACACAGAGAGATTTTTTAAAAAGACATGCACATAAGGTATATCAGAATATGGAATGACAGAGGAAAAGCAAGATAATCACACCTATGAACAATCTGATAGACACATGCACATGTGCAAACATACTTGGACATATATGGAGAAAGACAAATACAGATACACAGGGATAGGGACTAGCTCTATACTTTCATTAATATAGGGAACTCCCAAGTAAGCAAATTCCCTTTACCAATCTAGAATAGCACTTTCAATACAACTCATAGTTTTTAAGAGTTACCTAGAGCTCTGAAAGATTAAATTACTTGCCCAGGGTCAAACAGCCATATGTGTCAGAGGCAGGATGTGAACCCAGGTCTTCCTGGCTCCACGGCCATGTTGCCTCTAACAGAGGCAGAGAAGAGAAACACATCCAGAGAATCCCCATTCCACCCCAACTTTTCCCCTTATCCCCCTAAAAGCACACAGACAAATCTAAGGACAAACAGATAGATACAGATTATCCCAGGGTCAGAGACCTATGTTCCTCTTGTTTTCTGCCCCCACCCAATTTACACCCCTCTCCAAATATTAGAGGAAGCATGGTGAGGGTTACATAGGTGATATGTAAGAATCCTACAGAACTGTAAAGAATCCATAGAACTGTGAAAACAGAGGAATGGTTATTTGTGTGTAAGATCACACTACCTGCCTCAGGAGGAAGAAACAGCTCAGGAGGAGAAAGAAGACAATGTGACGTCTCCCTAAGTACTGGACACAATTTATCTTCCTTCTCCTCCCCCCATTCTCTGCCTCATTAAGGGTAGGCAGTGACTGACTTGAGTGTCAAAGGTAAAGGAAGAGATCATCTCATTGGCCAAGTGTGATAACATCACAAGGAAGAAACATGTGACAAACACATACACATTTTCAAGTGGCCTGGCAGAGAAGACATCTCTGAACAGGAACACACACAAGATGCTTACAGTACATTACCTACCCCTCTTCTCTTCCCTAAGGATGATTAACATGAAGATAACATGAACAGGAAGGTAATAATGCTAAGCACACAATACAATTTTGCTTAATTGAGACAAGTATGATAGTAGCACATTCTGATTTGGGACACACAAAACAGACACTTAAAACGTGACCACAAATGCATAAGACACGTAAGGGACAGGGTGGTGATAAATAGGTCAGAGAGTAAGTAGGCCTTGGGAATGAAGAAATGGTGATAACAGAAGTCAATCCCCATGTGTAACAATCCTCTGAACACACACACACATACACACATATACCCACACGAAGAAGATAAGAATGAAGACATGCTCACGCTGTTGATAACAAGAACAACAGGTATTTAATACAGTGTAGCCCTAGGGAAACTGCTTCTAACAAGGAATATGATATACTCCAAGCACATGCCCATCATGCCAAAGGTGTAACATGCTATCAGCAGTAACATAGAAACCATGGGGATGTCAAGACCGCTGGAAAGGTAATGGGAAAGCACACAAGGGAAAATTCAATAATGTAAAGAAGCAGAAGGGTAATAACATAATAAAGGAATGAATACAGCAAATGTAAATCACATAGAGATAACATAAAAATTCAGTAGAGAAACATACAGAGTAGTAATAACATGCCTGGGGTGAAAATAACATGCCAAATCATTACACATGCAAATGACAGAAGCAGTGGGATTGATGTTCAACATTAATAAAAACATAGACATAGATGGGAGTGAAACCTATAACATACATACTCATTCACATGTTATATGAGTACACACTGACAAAATACAGTAGTAGTATGGACATGTCATGTAGAACTATGGGCCAGGTCGAACATGGGAAGGACATGCAAAGACATTTGCAAAGAGATGGGTTTTCTGTGTGTGGAGGACCATTACCCTCTACATGGGCTATGTATACATGATTCCCTAGGAATACACATATCCGAGGTTATCCAACCACATGAGACTGCCAGATGTGTTATACAAACATATGGTTTACAAAACATTACAGGAAGGAAATGGTGAAATGAATGTTGTCATATGACCAGAAATGCTATGCTAATAAAACATAAAACATAAATGCTCAAGCAATGCTAGGACTTCCTTAGAAAAACACATGCAATAAATGGGGTTAATACAACATGAAGATATGTGTTAAGAGTAAATTAAATCATGGAATCAGACACCTGAAGGCAACCCCGTGGGACAATCATCACAGGTTATGAAACCAAAACAAAACATACCATGGGCACAATATATATATATAACATGTGAAGACAACTATTTTGGCAGTGATGATCATGGGCAAAGCATATGAACATAAAGACACTAATATGCAATGGAAAGATCTGAGAAGGTAGGCAACATTTGAACACACAGATGCATAGGGTATGTAAATTATACTCCAAATGGATATGACACGAGGGACAGGCCATATTATACTATGTGATTGGACAAATATGAACTTAGGAAAACAATAGTACTATAGTCACCCTTCCCAAGGGGGAATGGATACAACATCCAACTAATGTGAGCACATCTGCCATGACCATGGATCATATGGTTACATATTCCACCACACAGGCCACTACTAAAGCATGCACACTCAATGGAGAAAACAAGGTAATACACAAGACACACGTGTGCCAGGAAGGGCCTACCTAACATGCACATATGTAGAGACCTTAGGCTCCGTGCATGGAAATACAGGGGTGTCCTGGTATGATCCTAGCAACCAATATTCTCTTGGAGGAGGAGTCAGGAATGTAGTTTATAATCTACACTCCTTCCAAGGGATACAAGGGGCAGAAAGAGGAACTGGGGGGCGGGGTGTAGGGAATTCCTCTCTCCCCTCACCAGCACACCTCACCCTCACCCCATCACTATTCCCCTTAATCAGGCCAGCCCCCCAATCACCAGGCCTCAGCCCCTCCCTCCTCCATCCCTTTTCTCTCTGTCTGGATTCTCCCCATCTTTCCCAGCGGCTCCTCTCCCAAGTCTATCTTGCACTCTCTCTCCCCAGACCCCCTTCTCTACCTCCATGACCTCCCAGCTCCCTCCTCCCCCGACCCATCTCTCATTCCCCCCTCCCCAGTTCCATCCCTCCCCCACCTCAGTGGGGTAGGGGGCCTAGGGGGCCGGCCCCCTCCCCAGCCAGGCTGCGGCAGCGGTGGTGGCGGCTGTGTCTCTGTCTCTGGTGGGGAGTCGGTGCCAGGGGGCCCTCAGGGTTTGGGGGTGTCCTAGCCCCGGCTGGTGGAGGGGCTGTGGGAGTGGGGGGCCGGACCCATAGTGGTGAGAATGGTGGGAGGGGGGGGTGTTCCCCCGATCTCTCCCTCCCTCCCTTACTGCTGTCTCTCCCTCGGAGGGCTGGGGCTGCCGAAGCTGCTGCTGCTTGCGCCCCCCCCTCCCCACCAACGCCTGCTTGTTTCCGGGGCTGGCCAGGAAGTGGGGGGCGGTGACAGGCGGGCTGTCTTGCCAATAGCCTGGACAGGGACCCAAGCATTCCCTCCCTCCAGCTTTTAGCCCTCCCCGCCTCATCTTTTTCCTCCTAGCTCCTCCTGCTGAGGCTTCTGCCTTACTCCTTCCAGCTGTCTCTCTTTCATAACCCTTTTTTTTTTTTTCTGGCTCTGGTTCCAATCCTTCCTGGCTTTCCCTGCTCTTGTATCTCTCCTTCCTTCCATTTCTCTTAGCTTTCTTCTCTCTGCTCTTTAGGCTCCCTTTCCTCTTTCCCTATTCTTCCATTCCTCTGCTTCTCACTACTCATCATCCTTTTTCATCAGCTGCCTCCCTTCAACTCCAGCTCAGCCTCTCCCATCCTTATCTCTCTCTCTGTCTCTCCTAATCTTTCCATCCCTATCCTGTGGCTATCCTCTTCCTTTCCTCCTCCTCATTATCTCACCATGGTCTCTCAGAACACTAGCCCTGTTCCTCCCCTTCCTTCCTCTTGCCTCTCTCTGATCCTCCTACCCTCATCGCCGACCTCCTCCTTTTCTTAATTCCCCAGTTCCCTTCTTTCTTCTCCTCCTAGCACCTTTCCTATAGGGTCTCTTTTCTTCAGCCAGGCTAGGAACTGCCCCTTCACCCCAAAGATGAATTGTATATGCTTTCCCCACCACTGAGATCAGGTCACTGTTATTCCTTCTTCCTGAGGGTATGGGCAGACCATGCAGCTTGGGGTGGAATGGGGAGCAGACCCTAACTCCTTAAGGTTGTCATCCCCAGTTTCTAACTCTTGTTTTCTGGCAGCTCAACCACATCCCTGGCCCCGGCTTCCCACACTTCTTTCACCCCACTTGGCAATCCTCTGCTGACTCAGTCTCATCCCGTTCACCCAACTCTCCTTCCTATCTCTTTCTAAAAAACATTACCACCACCACCTTCCCTTCTCTTCCTTGCTGTCTTGCCTGGCCCTATTTTCTCCCTCTCTAATAAGATCCCTACCTTCAACTAACCAGCTCCACCGACTTGGAGGTAGCCCTTTCCTGCTTTCTCTTTACTTTCCAGTTCTCCCCAGATGTGGGGATTCTTCCCCCCTAGATGTCTTGGTTTCTCTCTGAGGGCCCCTGTCTGGTCTGTGTCCTCCCTCCCATAGAACCATAGAACATAGAATGTCGGAGCTGCAGGCAGCCTTGGAGACCACCTACCCTCATTTTACAAAGGCCCAAGGAAATTGATGCCTAGGGAGACAACTGGGTGGAGATCATAAGCTTCTCAACTACCTCTCCCTCTGCATCCCTCCAAATCCCCGCCCCCACAATTAACCTAAGTCTGTCACTGGCCAGGGCTAGAGGAGAGACTGGAGGTGGAATGGGTGGGAGTGCGGGGAGAAAGGGTAGGCTGTTACCAGGTTGCTGTGCTTGGGCCACAGAGGAGGGAAACTCACTGCCCAGGCCTGGCTGCCTGCACCAGGCACCTGGGTCACGCTGAGCTGTAGCGGGTAGGGGACAGGCACCCTGCCCAGGAAGAAGACCCCAGTTCTGCTTGGTATGTCACAGGGAGGAAGGGGCGGGTCTAATTCTAGCTCTGCAGATCATGGTAGAAACATTAAGGGTATGAGAACTGGACAGGACCTTGGAGATCATTCAAAGCATGATGGAGACAAGACCGTCCAGCCTCTCTTTCCACTGATGACGAAGACATTAGGATCTGAGGGAAGTCCAGTGACTTCTGAGGTCACCCAAATAGGCAGAGGCTGGGCCAGGATTTGAACCCAGGTTCTGTCACTCCAAATTCAGCTCTCTCCACGGCACCACACGAAGTGAACTAGGGCTAAACTCGTTTCTGCCCTGTGCGTCATCGAAGAAAGGAACCTGGGGAGTCGAGGTCCGCTCAGTGTGTCGGCCAATACTAAGGGGGTTGGAGTGCGTGTGCGCTCGTGGGGATGGGGGTGGGGAGGGAAGGGTGTTATAAGCCTAGCGATGGATCTGTGACGTCAAGTAGATGGGGCCAATCGCCATGCTCCTGGCGACATCATTATAAAGGGCGCTGGGAGAACTCAGGTTCGGTTTCTTGCGTCACCAAAACGGCTGAAGCCATTTTGAACCCGGTGACTAGCATACGTCTCTTTGCTCCCAATCCTAGCTAATCTGCGAGGTCTAGAGTAGCCAATCAAATTCGAGAGTTGGGTGGGAGAGGTGAGCGGAGGAAGAACTTAAGGCTGGGGTGGTGGCCAGGCCAGGACCAATTGCGATCTGGTCGCTATAGCAACGAGAAGGCGGAGAGGAAGAGGCGAGTCCAAGGAAGCACAACCTCCTCCGGATAGTCCCGCCCTATTCCTTACATGCACGCTTGCGACCATTTCCCAGCCAATCGGCTGCTTCGGCACTTGCGCGTTCGTAGTCCAATAGGGTCTCGAGTAGTCTCCAGAAGAGGAAATGAAGAAAGGACGGGGGCGGGAATTGACTGGGTTATTAGTAGGTAGAATCTATGTCCTGGAGCCAATTGAGCACGACACTTAGCAGTGAGGGACAAATAGTGGTGATGACAGGGTGGGCCCTCCTTCACCGCGGACAATAGGGTCTGCCAGGGCACATTTTACGGCTAACCTATGACGCAGCATCTTGACTGGCGACTGCTTTGGCCAATAATCACAGTTCAAGGGCGGGGCAATATGTGCCTCTCCCTCCCCAGACTGTCGTCCAATCTTTCCTTCCGAACGCGATGTGACTGGTGGGCAGAATCACCAATGGAGTCTCGAAGACCTTGACGGATAACCAATGGGCGCGAGCAGGGGGGCGGGCTTTTCGGACCATCGGGGTTTGTGTATGTGTTTGGTGGGGGAAGACCTGGGTTGCGGGGGCAACAGTTGAGGGGCCATGGCAGCGGCCAGGAAGGAGGACGGGGGCTCCGAAGGGCCAAACCGCGACCGGGGAGGGGCAGGTGCGGCCTTCGAGTGTAACATCTGTCTGGAGACAGCGCGGGAGGCGGTGGTCAGTATGTGCGGCCACCTGTACTGGTGAGAGCCCCGGGACACACCCCCACACCCCACACACCTACTCCCACCGTACTGGTGAGAACCCCGGGACATGTAGTCGTACCTCTAC